CTAGTCATTTAACAGCCTCCGAGCTTCATCCCAATCAAGCCTGTAGTATGGTTTCTATACTTTCCCCTCAGCTCCTCCCTGGCCAGCCATAAATCCACCTTCAGGGGCTTATCAGGTAACTATTTGACTGCTCCGATTCTCGAGACCCGAGATGTCTACTCCAGAATAAGAACGGACGAGAGGGCGTTCTATGTAGCACTTAGGATACATGCTCGCTGTCGCTATCATGCAGGCTACACCCAATCCGCCGGTTCTGCTGTTGTTGTCCCCTGTCTGCCTGCTCCAGCGATTTCAGGGGCTTCAAGGCAGCCCACAGCCACAACGAGGGTCAACATCTGCTTAACTGCCGACTGTGCCACTGCCTGCGTCGATAGTTAGAGAGCACCAAGGACAGGACAAGGAGAGGCACTGCCACAACCAGTGTTGGCGGTGGATATAAACACGAGAAATTGAGGATTGGCATTCGTGATGAGAAGCGCCGCTTTGGAGGGGCTGGAGGATCTTGGGTTTAGGTCGCTATTTATTTAACCAGCCAGATCCCCAGCAACACCTAACTAGTTAACTACCGGGTACATAGTTCACTAAACCATCCATTTTACCCGCACTGCTGCAACTCATTACTAGCTACGGAGGGCATATATTGTTAATTATCCTGCTCCGGACCAGTTACTGCGGCTCTTGCTCTCTTTCGCTTCCGTCATGGCTGGATATCCCCCGCCAGGCCGTATGTTGCGCCCAAACCAGCCACCTATACGCACAACCCCCTTAGCCCATTATTAGTGAAGCTGTACTAATTACGATATGTCTAGAGTACCCCTATCCACCGCAGGGTGGTGCGCCGCCTCAGGGATACCCTCCTCAGGGCTATCCTCCTCATGGCCAACCACCACCACAAGGACAGCACCCCCCGCCAGGACAGTACCCTCCGCAAGGCCAGTATCCTCCCCCTGGAGGCGCGCAAGGCCAATACTACCCGCCGCAGGGACAGTATCATCCCCCTCAAGGGCAGTACCCTCCCCATGGCGGCCCTCCTCCTCCGCAGGGACAGTATGGCGCCCCTCCACCGGGTGGTGCCCCGCCGTACGGATATCCGCCCCAGGGACAATATCCTCCCGCACAAGGATACCCACCTCAAGGCTATCCTCCGCAAGGCTACCCTCCGCAGGGATATCCCCCTCAGCCGGGGTATGGTGCACCACCTAGCGGGCCACCAGCACCTCCGTCTCCGGGCTACGTGCCAGGCCAGATGGCACAAGGAGACGCCAGTAGAGAGGCTGACATTCTGCGCAAAGCCATGAAGGGCTTCGGTACTGACGAGCTCACACTGATAGAAGTTCTTGCAAGGCCAGACCCGCTTCAAATGGCTCTTATCTCACATACCTTCAACTCTCGCCACAAGCGCAACCTGGAAAAGGATATCGAAAAGGAATGCGGAGGCAAGTTTAGAGATGTTATGATGGCTCTTGTACGAGGACCCCTGATGCAGGATGTCCACGCTATCAACAAAGCCATCAAGGGTATGGGTACTAATGAAAAGCTGCTCAATGATGTGCTACTTTCCCGCTCCAACGCAGATATGAATGCCATCAAGACAGCGTACAAGGCCACCTTTGGACGTACCCTCGAGGCGGATGTACGCGGTGACCTGTCCATGCAGACAGAACAATTCTTCAACCTGGTTCTAGCCGCAACTCGTTGCGAAGAAAGTGCTCCTCCAAACCAGTACCAGCATGACCAAGACATGTCGCAGCTCTGGGGAGCCATGGGAGGCAATACAGGCGTACCCAAGAATACTGTCTGGCAGATCCTCACCCAGCGATCCAACAACCAGATCCGTGCGCTTTGCGATGACTTCCCCAAGAAGCACAACACTGCTCTCAGCGCGCAGATCACAAGCCATTTCTCTGGCCATATCCGTGATGCACTGGTGTACATGCTTGGAAAGGCAGTTCAGCCTGTCATGCACGATGTGCTGGCGTTGGAAGATACCATGGCTGGCATGGGCACTAATGATTGCCTTCTGATTGAGAGACTGGTGCGTATTCACTGGAACAAACACCACCTTGAACAAGTGAAGCAGGAGTTTGAGAGGAAGTATGGCAAGCCGTTGAGATCGCGGGTTGCCGGTGAGACCAGAGGGGATTACGAGAAGGCTCTACTTGCTATGCTCCAGTGATATAAGGGGTTGGATGTCTGAGTCACTAAGTGTCCGCTGTTGTTGGCTTTGTCTAATTTTCTCCCGGTTACGAATCCGCTCTTATGAGTATATGGGAGGATAATCTTCTTGTTGAAAAGGTTCTTGCGCCTTGTAATATTTGTAAGAATTAGTTGGAATGTTAGTAGAAGAGGTAATGTATTGATAGTATTATGTAGTATTGTGATGCTACCAGCAGTATCATTCCAGATGAATGGATATGGGAAGAAAGACCAGAGCCTTTCAACACATAACTAGCAATGGAAACAGATAAAATATATGGGACAACGGCATGCCAGAGTCAATACCATCGAAACACAAGGTCATCACTTCATCAGCATAAGAAAACAGAAAATCGAAAAAGAAGCCCTCCCGGAAGGCACCAGGAGACCTAGCTCTGACAACTAAAAACCTACCCCCGCCTCTCTTATTTACTTGTCATGGTCTAGAAACTTCCCAACATGGTCTCTCACGCTGAAACCGTTGAATAGCCAGTCGTTTCCATGTCTGCCAACTTGCGTCATAGTGCTGCTGCGTCTCTTGTGATTAGAGCTGCTGCTCTTGCGAGAATGGCGCTTCTTCTTTTGACATTCGTCGGCTGCCGAGTCTGGCGTGTTCAGCTCCGGGCTCACCATATGTGTGGGCGAGGTAGTCTGTTGGCCGCCATGGGTTAGGTGATGAGATGTGCTGGTATCAATTGGAGCTGGAGCAGGGGACTTTGGCCGAGACTGAGAACGAGACCGGGAGTGAGAGAATGAGCTGAAGAAATGGCCTCGGGAGGGAGAGGTGGGTGGCTCTAGGTGGGAGCTTGCAGTTGGCGGAGAGGTTGTTCCGCCCAGGCTGGATCCCCTGCTGTGACGGTGGAAGAAGTGTGGCAACGACGAAGAGTGAAGGGGAGTCTTCGACGTATCACTGTTCCCTGAGCAGGTTGTGGAAGTAGAGAGGCTTGGGACGGAGGAAGAGGTCGACTGAGTCGTCGCCTGAGCCAGGAATGGTGGGCGATCAGGCATTGTTGCTGTGGCTTGCTCTTGTCCAGAATAAGTGAACTAGGATGTAGAAGTAGATGTATGTCGTCCAGCAACTTGAGCCATGCAAATCAATTGCAAATCCGGTCAGCAAGGTACGTTGTATACGAGCAGGAGTGAAATCAAGCAGGAAAAAACTTTTGCGTCTAGCAATCGAACGAGAAAAGAGTGGAAAGTCACAACGCCCTGCGTCATAAGAAGATGTCTCAGATAACTATTAGTTAGGGCTAGAAGTCGGTAGTCGGTGAATAAACAGGGAAACACAAGAACAATCGAGGGGGGCATCCGGTTGTATTTATGCTCTCAAATTCAAGCGAGGATGCGCTGGAACGAGCCGGTCGACGGCTCTCTGCGAATGGCCTGCTAGACGAACGCTTGAGACATCCACACAAACGGTCATTGGCCGTGACGTATGTAGCTGCTGTGAGTGATTCCCAACCTCTCCCCCTCCCTTTGACTGGGGGTGATCTCCAGCTGTGGAGAAGCTGGTTCAGCTAAGAATAGGCACCGTGAATCTGGGCTTCCCTTTATGACTATATTCACGGCTCCGGCAACCTTCACACCATGGTCGGAGAAGCAATACGACAGCGAGAGAATAATGAATATTCCTCAAGGCACTCAGGCCGCGACCGGGCGCCTCTTTGAGCCGCATGTCCACGCATGTCAAGTTGTCACCTGGCTCGGCGTGCGCAAGAGTTTGGTAGCAAACAAGCCGTTCTCTCCACGCTGGCAAGGAATCGCATGCAAGTTTGACTTCGTTCTAGCAGCTGGTCGGTCTCGCGGCAATCAACTTATGTAGACCCGGAATGCGATAGTAAGTGTGATAGTTATCGCAGACATCCCGCGTAACATTGGCCCGATACTCCGGCTGGTTATTTCGAACTGCTCAGAGAAGGAAGCGCTGGAAGGCACTCAGGCATCTTCTCGGCACGCTCATCTTCAGCCCTACCGGTTCCTTCGAAAGGTACGGGCATTCCTTGTTGTTGTGCTTCCCTGGTACCACAATATGACGCAGTGTCGATCCTTCAAGAAATATGGGAAGTCCAACACGACCTGTTAACTCCTCGGAGACGGAATTTGGTCCCTCTGAGCGGTTTCCTGGAAGATTATCGTCTTTTCGCCCCAGGTACTCGGCAGAGATAGCCGTGGCCGGACAACAGATTCGGATTTCGGGGTGGATCGAGATGTTGGTTGTGTGATCTCCGTAACTAACGTCCTCGTATTCAGAGCCATCTTTGTGCGCTGTTCTTGGACGGCATGTCCGCGGAGCCCCAAAGCAACCAGGCGTATTCAGAGAGTATTCAGAGTCCTGAACAACTGTCAATTGCCGGAATTTCGCGTCTTTATGGCTTGTGTCTTTTCATCATCGCGAGAAGTGTCGTTGAATTCGTCGCCGTCGTCGCTGGAAATCGATATCAACACAGATGACTAAGCCTATGTCTATCACGACAGCAACTTCTCTACTTCCATGGAAATATCAGGATACAGAATACACCTTCAAGGCCTATATTAGGTATCTCTTGTATCTGTGATGCGTGTTGAACCCAGCACGATACGGCTATACTATTCGGCTACCAACATCATAACATCATAATATCACATCTTCCATACTGGAAATAACCCCATCTACAGCAGGTGTGAAGGTATTCCGTTCATGCACAGTGGGCACAGCCGCTCGTGCATCCTTTGCTGCAGTGCTCTAGATATCTGGCACTGGTTGGCGAGAGACAATCGTACAGACCCTGGAGGTCAGGGACATTTCCCCATCCTAATGCTCAAGGTTAGGGCAAAGCAAGAACAGCCACGGAAGGGGTGAAATACGCACCAAGGCCATCAGCAAGATACCATCCACAATAGTTGTAACCGACGTTACAGGCTTGAGCAGGAACTAGGTTGTTGCCGTTGCCGGGAGTTGCCTCTTCTTTCAATGCTGCGCCGTTCGCAAGGGCAACGAGAGAGAGGGTAATCAGCGAAATGAAATGCATTGTTGCAGATTCGAGACAGAAATGTCTGTGTTTTCACGGGCTCGGGGTGTGACTGTTTGAAGCGTTCTCAACTGTAGCAGTTGTCGAGATTGTTTTGGTTGATGAAGATCACATTCTGCACTGGAATATGGACCCCCTATTTATACCCAGAGAAGTCATAGAGGATGAGGTATATGGGACACTTCCAGGCCATCAGAGATTGAATAATTTCAAGCTCTATAGACCACGGTCTGTGATTTTCGTCGGGATCACAATTCCAATACGAGACTCTGCCATCTAACTGCAGCGCAATTCCATGTCGACTATCCGGAAGAAAGCACTCGTTTCATAGATATTGGGTATGTTATTCCATGAAAGTGCCATATACTTCTCATTGATATCTGCAGCAGAATCCGGGGAGATGGCCGGGTATGGAGGCCCTTGGCTGGAGAATGAATATCAGAGCATGAAAAGCGCAAGGTTGACATCAAGAATCTTGCATACAGAACAGACAAACAGGCCCATTTACCAATATATATATTGTGGCTTCGGAGGTCTGATCGAGAACTGTAGCTGCACGGATATATAAAGTCGGTTTATATGCCTATCCAGTCATCGTTTAATATATTCTACTTCTCCAACCCCAGGACGAAAGTCAATAAGCGAAGCTGCAAGGCCCCTATTGGACTTTGCACTAGATATAAGGCATTCATCAGGTAGGATGGCCGGCCTGGATGTCAACCTGCTTTCAGGTATTAAGCTGCGAGGCTTCAAGCATACATATTCTCTTCCGACATACTCCGTAAGCCATCAAGTTATTACCGTTAGTTGATTCAGGGACAGCCTGCTGGTATGGCCGGATTACCCGGAACAAGCCGAGGAAGTTATCGGCATGACTGGCTCCCCCAGAATCGGGGTATCATCCCTGTTGAAAAACACTCGGCTGGAAGCTGGCTGGGGTGTAGGATGTAAAGGCAGATATTAGTTAACTATGAAGCCAAGAAGTGAGTAATGCGACCCAAAGCACGCCCGATAAGAATCGAAAAAAGATGCCTAGGCTTGTCCTTACATGTTCTTCCATGTCATAGTAAGAAAGATATTTATTCACCTATGTATGGGGTGGTGAAAATAGAAATAAAAAAGAAATAAAAAAGAAATGAATGCGCTCCCTAGCGGGGAATCGAACCCCGGGCACGAGTGTGAGAGACTCGGATGTTACCTCTACACCACTAAGGACGGTTGATGTGTGGGTTGGGGCCTCGGTTATCTAAGAGGCCAAGCATCATCTGAAGATCACGTGGCCACTCGGATGAGGTCAGCAACCACTATCGGAGTCGATGGATATTATTATTATTGTTTTATACTTAGACCACGGATGTGTTCTTAGGCGGCCAGGATAGTTCCCAGCGTGTCGGCTTGCATGGTACTTCTATACTCGCCCCTTATCCTGGCCCAAGGATGCCAATGACTTGTCAATATTACATGCCTAGAAAAGCTGGCATATGAAAGGATCCCCCATCTCTGGCTGTATATGTATCTAAGATACGAATCATTGGCCTTATGGCAAGTTATTACTTTAGAAGCAGGCAGTTGAATAACTACGGCAGGTGCCAAGTTGTGCCGTGGAGAGATGGATTCTGGACTCTAATCAGTGTCACCTGAAGGGGAGACACTGGATGCTGGCCTTGGGTTCACTTGGCTCTCCACTGCCAATGGGCCTAAACACCAACTCAAAGGGCGTGTTCATGGGTACTAAGAAGTAGAGCCATGATGGCCTGTCTTGTCTTATCCGTTGTGAATATTTCGCTTGCACGACGTGATCGGAAAGATGATAGAACAGGCCAAATCACTGAGAAGGGGCTGATCTGCTATTTTTCAGCCTGCAGAAAGAGAAAGCTTTCGGATAGCTGATTTCCGTGATACCCGAAAAAAAGATATTTATTGAGAATACTGTTTCAAGAGACAAGATACCCCGTCACAAGCTTTTCTCTGCCCTGAGGAGATCCCCCTTTTTCAGTGGTGGTGATACCTTATCTACAGCGTGGACAGATTTATCAGAGATGAAAGACAGCTCGACAGATAAGCGCGGTAGTTTAACTCTTTTGTAGAACGGAAAGAGCTACCAGAGAGGGTAAGATGTGGAAAATGCGAATCAGAGAAAGAACTACCAAGGGCCTGGTTGCTCCTGCCGCAATATAGGCGGGAACTTTGCTGATATTCCATACATCAACCATCGAAGAGGCTGATATTGACAAGAAGCTGTTGGTTGTCGTGATATATCACTTCTTTGATACATGGCTCCTCTATCATTTAACTTATACCACTAATTGCTATTTGACGTTGCGCTACACTCTTTTCTCAACCCACAGGCCAACCTCCCACATGCATGGATAAGAAACATCTCCTGATTCTCGTTATAACGAGTTTTGCCTCTTGGCTGCTTATTGTTCTACTTGTCTTTGCTACCTGGAAGGCTGCGGACTGGTTTGGTCAAGAGCACACGGACGTCGAAGCCGCCCGGGTTGAGCCCGACATTCCACCCGCTATCCCAAAGGTCAAACACGTTCGTTTTTCAGCTACAGTTGAATTCATCTAAGCCAAATCTTTGAACTGGATGCCCATACGCTCGTTACGCTCGACTTTGCAATTGGTGGTACCATTGTGGCCGGTGTTTGCGTTACCAAGACCAATAATCCATGGCTCCAATATATAGGCATTGCATCTCTCTTCAGCGTCGGGAAATCATCCAACCGCCTCGCCACCCAAACGGCCCAGGAGGGGCCGTGCCCGTGGACGAACGTATCGATTTGAGAACTTTCCTTCTGTTATTCATTGGAACGGTGTCCATTTTCATACTCGGTGTTTTCTACTGGAAACTAGGGACATTTCTACGCTCATTTACGCGCTCAAGGGTGACTGGAGGAGGACGGAGTGCAGCTTCACATCACGTTAGAGCCTGGTACGGATGGATTCCCACTATGGAATATAACTATCATAAAGAGCGGTGGAAAGAGGAATTCCGCTGGGCTAGGAAGTTCATGTTTTGGAGGTCTTCGCATGCGGATTATAGTTGGATATGGTGGGACCAAGATGGTGAGAAATCAAGGCAACGAGCTGAAGATGAGGGTCGGCTACGGCGTATTCCCTTGCGGTTGATGAGATATGCCGTCAACGGACTGAGGCCCAGCTCGCACTCACAAGCCAACCCTGAGCTTGGTGTTCCCGCAATGAGCCGCTTGTCTACCCTTCGAAGACACCATAACCGCAGAGCCATGGAATATGAGGATCTTAATGTACCACGGCGTACCGATTTGAGCCTTTCGCCCTCTTTGAGGACACGATCCAAGTCCTTCGATAATAGTGGGTATGGAGTAGGAAGCGAAGCACCACCTCGCCCTGCAGCTCGAAAAACACATTCCGAAGGCTACTATGATGACTCACGCCACGTACGTTTTCACAGTCCAGCTACTCAGCCACTCCATACTAGAAGAAGGCATGGACGAAGCAGCATCCTGAGCATGGGCAATTCCATGGACGAGACACATGGCGAAAAATCACTTTCCTGGAAATATAGAGCATGGGGTGCAAGGATGCAATGTCAGACCTTTGGTGATACTCCTGGAGTTCTCAAGGGCCATGCCGGCCGACCAGGCACAGCAATGTCGTTTGCTCTCAAAAGCATGATATCATCAGGGTCTGGCTCAGATATATACCAGTCTCATCATTATGATACTGGGACTCAGCCGGCTCCTCGATTGCCAAATCGTCTTACTCCAGAGATCAGGAGACAGATACCAAGACCACGATGTCGGCCAGGAGAAGATACTCTTCGCATCCGCAAATGCCGCGGGATACGCCGTCGACCTCCTCTCGAGAATTGCTTGAGCCGCCCTGAAGTACGTCTAGTCGACAATTTGGATAGAAAGCTCGAGTGGCTATCGAGTGAAATGGACCCAGGTCGAAAGTCATTTGCGTTTCTCCTTCTCCACAACCATTGGCTCAACCGGGCCACTTGGGTTGTAATGGATCCTTCATCAAGACTCACTGTTCAGAAAAAAAGAATACAGAGTGATCCCAGAGTAAATAAGAAGGCGTTTGGCGGTAAAAGCAATGCTGTTATACCCGACCTTACCCCTGAACCAAGAGCCAGAGCAGTTACGCCACGGATAGATTCCTGGAGGGTAGCAGTCAACCAAGCGAGGGTGTCTTCTGGAGCGAAAGAGATTCCAAAGGTTGAATTACTCGAAGGCTCAGCTGAAGAGGCTGCTGATAATAACGTTGACCCAGCAAGCTGGATTCTCAAGAAACCCCCACAAGGACACGGAATGTCGAATAAGCAGAAACAGAAATACTTCGAAGGGCCTGGTGGTTGGTCTGAGAAGCTCGAGTACTGGGAGAACGTTCCCCGGTTGTATAGGGTCCGGAGGGTAGTTCTTCAAGGCAAAGCCAACCGCCGGTGTGTTGTTAGAACTGGAAAGGGCATATATCACGGCGTTGAGAGAGCTGCTCGGGAAGCAAGAAGGCTCAGTGCCCAGCAGTACCAGAAAATCAGGCAGCTTGAGAGGTCTGAAAAATCGGGCCGGGGGGTTGTAAGCCTACATCATTCCTTAAGAAGCACTCTTTCAAGATCCGCGGTCAGTCTACAGGGAGCGGATAGTCCAACACTACAGCCACGGAGTACCACTGATCCAGTGTCGATGCATCAACGAGACGAAGGCTGAACCAAACAGAACCACAGCATTCATGGAAATTATTCTTACCGTTCGGAGCTAATTTAATCTGTTCATCTTTCGTTTTTGCATACGGAGAAATGGAGTGGCCAGTTGTTATATCCCTAGAAACGGGACAAGTCTCTCTGGGTTCAGCATATCCGTAGGATCATCAATCACTAATAAAATTTGAGAAAATAATCCAGTAATAGTACACACGCACATTCAGTGTATGTCTAACCGTAGAAGGACAGCCAAAAGGGAAAAACTCCATACATGCCCACATATTCGAGGAAGAAAGGTATTTATACATAGCGCAGAGCCAGTATCCGCGTCAAACAGAGATGATATATCGATGGAAAAGCGTGAAGAGGCAACTCTAGAAACCAGGAGGGTTAATTCTCTGGCTAACACGAGTCCATTTGGGAAGTTCTAAGAAACCAGCAGTTAGTATATGTTCATACCACGCTACAAAATAACCACCCCCCAAAAGTCTGTAAGCCACTAAACCAGCACGGATAAAACGTACTATGTATTCCCTTGCGGTACTTCTTCTCTTTCCGGTCGAAAATTGTGTACTTGTCTCGTGGTAGCATTTCCTCCTCCCTAGGCATCTCTCGGTACCATCGCTCTACAGGCTTCGTGGCCCCGAGTCCATTTCTTTCCAGCGCAGCGTAAACCGTATCAACAACATTGTCAACTGCTCGTAGCCGCTTTCGTTGTCTAGCTTTCTGAGGACTGGACAGGCGCCAGGGAATTTTCCTAATGAAAAGATTCAGGTTAGCCGTTATCCATCTTGGAATCGCCGGAAGGGCCAAATGGCGCTGGCGCGGGACAATTGAGCCTACCATAATAGACCACTGAGTAAAGGGGAAGTAGGCTTGAACATCTTGAGTGGAATTGGCGTGTATCAGACGCTGAAAGGAGGTCGTTCAATGTCCTTCTTCGTGAGCTTTCATATATGAAGTTTTGAAGCCGTGACTTTTTTTTTCCTTTGGGAGATCATTGGATGGTCCGTGCACGCCACATCCCCAACTCTGATATGACCAAACAGCAGCTTCGGGCCTTTTGGATACGACGTTCAACCCGCCAGACGGTTGCTATCTTGTACCATATCATTTCTTTCTTATGTCTTGTCTATATACAAACCCATCAATTGGATTAATGTCGCTCCTTAGCATCCCATGAATTAATAAACTGGATCTACTCCCGGCTCGCCTTATCGAGTCGACCTCCCTCCGAGATCCCGATGCAGCTTCAAGATGGGACGCTCGAGCAGCCATCCTCCGTCTGGAGGTCTCTGTCCTCCGCTACTACGCTGAGTATTGCGGCACTATGTCGTGGGTTTCTATTCTCGCTCAATACCACGGAAGTCAATGGCTTGGATAGTTTCTTGAAGCTGCTAGAGTCGCGACAAGATGATAGCTTGAGGACACGCGGATTAATCACTGGTTAGCTACTCTATCTATATACTTGGCCGAGTGCGGTAATGAATTCAGGATACTGACTTTCCTGGTTTGATTTTGCAGTTTCAAATCACATTAGTGTGTAGGTAGCTTGAGGTCGCCCCTTTTTCGCATGCGCATACAGCGTGAACACTGGGCTGAAACTTCCCGGATGGGTGCTATAGTATGGACGATCCGTTGATGTGGGGTGTTATACCGTTGCGAAGTCATTGGGGATTCCGGCCATGCAATCGGAGATGGGCTCTTGGAAGCCATGATATTTGTTTTAAAAATAGGTATTGATCGGAAGTCACCGGGTATGATGGCGTGCTAACTCACCTACATAGATTTATGTCTGCGTTTTTTACATACGGGCAGGTTCTCCCAGCACATAGACTTTTCCATTCTTCTCGCGGTGGGCTCTTTCAGCCTACAGTAACCCAAGCGATCCGGTTATTATCCAAGGGACCTTTCCCTGTGGACCCTCACGGGGCTCCTGCAGACAAGCAACGATGGAGCATAAGCAATACCTGTGTTGATCCTTTTTCGGAGGTACCTACAGCTTTTACTACAAACGGAGAGGATGCTTTTCTAGCTCCATCTACATATGCATGCAACTCCTACTCTTGGATACACATCTTTCCAGAAGGGATGATACACCAGTCAGCACACAAAACTATGCGCTACTTCAAATGGGGCATTTCTCGCTTGATATTGGAACCAGCTGAATGTCCAGATATCGTCCCAATGTGGATCGAAGGCACGGACGGTGTTATGCATGAGGACCGTGGATTCCCTCGTTTTATTCCTCGCATAAACCAGAAAGTCAGCGTCACGTTTGGAGAAAAAGTGGACACGGAGGCTATATTTGGAGAGCTAAGAAGCAAATGGCAGAAGCTGAAAAGGGAATCGGAGCAAGGAAGCTCTGAACCTCTCGCAGTTGGCATATTGAATGAGAAGCTTATGTACGGAGATGAAGCCACGGAACTTCGACTGGAGTGTACGAGAAAGGTTCGGGATCTCGTTCTCGAGGTCCGGCGTTCAAGAGGCTTCCCGGATGAAGATCCGAAGGCCAGCATGGCAGAGACATGGCTGAGAGAGGGGCCCAAGAGAGAAGGCAGGATGGATGACGGCTCTCTGGTTAGAGACATCTAGATTCTACTTTTACTTTGAGTTTATGTCGAGTATACATATCAATATCAAGGAAGTGTACATGCAGCTTGGGCCAACGTTTTGAGGCTGTCGCAAACCGCCAAGCACTTTTCAGCCGCCACTTAAAAATAAGTCGATGTCGATACGGATACGGAATCAGTCACATTATTTCAAGCAACCCGACATGACGGAATATAAAGTACGGCCTCAGCCTGTCCTGGTCTTCTCCGACCAAGTTAGATCTCCTTTCATTCATTCTCTATGCCCAAAAAACACAAGTCTCCATCCATAAAACCAACGCCTGCCGCCCATCCTTCCCTCCAGTCGACCAGGTCACCCAGCCATGGCCAGACAGCAACAGGTCAATCATCAGTCAATGAAATCCTTCAGCAGATGCGAAATGCGTCTTCCAATGCCACAGGTTCACGACAGGCAAGACTAGCGCCTAGAACGGTTCATCCGTCTCTAAGAAACATCTTAGAACTTCCCGAGACGCCTCCTCCCCGACCTCGACCGACTACATCCCGCCAGGCAATTGGACAGCGAAGAGTCCGCCGAACCCCGGGTCCACCTCCTCCTCTAAGCTGGATAACCCCTAATACAGGATCAAATGCTGGCCTAGATGCCCCCGGTGGGGGTACGTTGAGAAGCCGTGGCTTCAAGTTTGGCCGTCGACTCGATCGCCTTCCCGGCGCAAGGATTCCGCCAGAGGACAGTTTACTACACACCACACTTCGGTTCATGGCTAGAAACTGGGATTGGCATCTTATATATGATGGAACATTTCTGTCAACATTACCGGTATCAATAAGGCAGCTCCTGTTGACATATATATCCGTCTACACAGATCATTTATCGATGGGGGTCAACATGAAGGGTTTAGAACCTCTATTCTTGACCCAGGAGTCCGGGCCTGAAGACAATGCTGAAGTGACTCGGCTAGACCTGGGATTTTCTATTGGATACTGGCTTAATTTGAAACAGCTCTCCAAGCTTATCAAAAGCAATATACCAAAACATAGGGAGAGCACACCTGTTCCCACTTCCTGGGAGGAGGAAGCTGACCTAGAGACACAAAGTCCTAGTCCCCATACTCCAGGCCGGCCTGAAGTGACAGCCTTCGGTAACCTCAAATTTCTCTCTTTGGCATCTCCAGCTCCGGAATCCGCAAGCTGGGTTTCACTTATGAAACTTCTTTCTCATATCCCAACATTAACCCATCTTTCTCTTGCTTATTGGCCTACCCCAACTTTGAAACCCAACGCTCTAACGGCAAGCGTGAGCCACCCAAAGCATCATTCACTCTCTTTTCAATATGGAGCGTCGGATGTATATTCTTCCTACGAGAATAATTGGACAGAAGCATCAATTGTCCTGGCAAAATTGTCAAGGGTAACCTATGGCCTTAAATGGCTTGATCTAGAAGGTTGCACTGAATGGATCCCAGCATTGTGCTGGAATGGAATTGACATCTATGGACAGGTTCACAGTGCTTCAGGTCCAGAATGGAATGGTTCGTGGAGAGGAATAGAGTGGATAGGACTTGGTCCTGGATGGGTCCCAGAGGCTCCAGCCCCTGATAACATATCCGCTACGGAAGTGGACGAGGATATAGTGATAAAGCAACAAGATAGATTCCGCAAAGAGCGAGAATCCTTCAAATCCACACTTGAGAGGATCAAAGATGTTGGTAAGGGCATTCAAACCGCGAGGATTGAAGGGCGCGGGAAATGGATACATTATTCTGACGGATCAGAGAGACGAGAGCGAATTTTAAATATATAAATATAGTGTCTTCATCTGTAAAGCCATTAATGCACAGGAATAGGCGTCTTGTTTATAATAATATCTACGCTCAGCTATACAACATTGGGTATTTTCATATTAACAAGCCAAACCGCCCATTTTTTACTTTGACTTGAACGACTTCAATGGATCAATTTTTCGTCCAGCGCCGCCTTTCTTTGCAATTCTCCCTCGAGCCTTGTTCTTTTGTCTAGCCTGCCGAATCCTGTTCCCCTTCTTTTTGTGTAGCCCAACAACCCCAATGTCTTCACTCGTTAATGAACTCTTCCCCTTGGTTGGCATTAGATACTCCGGCACATTCTTCAACTGGCTCTGCACTCTCACAGACCCAAGTTCCTGATCGTGGCGTAACTCGCGTAGCTCTTGGGGGTTCTCCTCGAAATGTCTCTTGAGTTTCTCACTCTTGACAAGTTCTTGTCTAATCTCTTTTGCCCTGGCTTCTTGAACGGCTATTCTAGTCACCGCTCGAAGGGCATCTGTCATTCGGTATCTGAACACTTCTATTTGCTTCTTATCGAAGTGGTAGGGCTTCACCTCTCTTCCCATCTTCGCTTGTCGTTTCTCTATTTTAGCAAGGACAGACTCATCGTTCTTCGCTGGTGGGAAAATGGTTGGTTTGTGCTTTCCATACAATTCAGATGGAACAACAAATGAAAGCGCCATCCCGGTTTTTCCAGCTCGACCAGTTCTGCCAATCCGGTGGGTATATGATTTAGCAGTCGTTGGAAGGTCGAAATTGAGGACGCATGCAACATCCTGGAAATCTATTCCTCGAGAAATGCCATAGTCTTTCTCCTTTCCTGACTTTTTTCGTTTCTTGTTTTTGTTGGATGGTGCCGCCTTTTCTTCCACTTCTTCAGGTTCGCTGAGATCCTTGTTTTCTTCCGTAGCAGCATCAGTAATAGGCTCTTCCCTCTCGGATGGCTTCTTGTTTGACTCGATTTTCCCTATGACTTCTTGGTCATCGGCAGCAATTATAATATCATAAACACCCTTGTTGAATTCCTCGACAGCATGTATTCTAGAATTCGCTGGCAATTCTGAATTGAGGATACAACTCTTGATACCAAATTGTTCCAGGAATAACTTGAGTCGATAACATCGATCCACATCACCGACAAATATGATGCATTTGCCTTTCACGAGCTGCAGTTTGAATATCACGTATGTGAGTAGAAATTTGTCGTCCTCCGCACACCTTGCAAGTCATTTGTTAGTCAATTTAGAGATACCGCATGCTAGTAAAGAGTAACGTACTTCACTGCGAACTGGCTTATACCAGCGCCCTCGTCCTCAGCCTCTTCAAGTTTCAAGATAGCAGGACTTCTACAAAAGAGTCCCTTCAGAGTATCAACTTCAGACGTCAGTGTAGCACTCATCAAGAAAGTCTGAACACCACGCGGAATTGCTTTCGCCAGGTTCTGCATATCTTGCTCATATCCATATGAGAGAACCAAATCAGCTTCATCAATAACCACTTGTGATATGTTGTCCAAAGCCAATGCTGAGTTATTGACGTTCACAATTGCTCGCGCGGGTGTAGATATAACAATATCCGGTAAATCTGCAAGAAGCGCGCGTTGGACAGCATCGGAAACCTTCTGTGTGAGATTCCCTGACCGTATATCCTTGGAACAGAACTCTGAAAACGCAGTTACGGTCTTGTGTACTTGTTGGGCAAGCTCTCTCGTTGGTACTAGGATCAAAGTTGAGATCAACTTATACGCGGGGTCGGCCTAGCAATCACAATTAATAAAGGATAATAGATTCCAATGCCTCCAAAATATAATTACCGCTTTCTTCTGCAATATTTTCTGTAATATCGGAATCAGATAAGCTGCTGTTTTTCCAGATCCGGTTTTTGCCCTTGCTACAATCAATGGAGAATTAGTCGACTGGCTTATAAACTTTTATAGATATAGTCTCATACCGAGTATATCCTTCCCATCGAGCGCCAAAGGAATAGCCTCCGCCTGGACTAATGTCGGCTTCGAAAATTTCTGTGATGTCAAGGCCTGAAGCAGTCGTGGATCGAGTCCAAAGTCCTCAAAATTCCTTGCAGGCTTTTTCGACTCCGTCGTTTCTGCTGATGTAGGGACATCATTCTCATCTAGCTTGCGCTTCATGAATTAAAAAATTAACTGTCGGATAACAGACAGGACTGGTTTGTATATCTTTCCCATCTAAATATAAAGACAAGCAATAGCAACTCTGCGGACTTTTTTCTTTTCGAATCAAAGACAAAATTTTAATTACATAAGCCAATTTAAGCTTTATCGGTAAATCTTTACTCCGGGAAACTTTATCTTTCCGAAACCTTAACAAAACCTCATCTTTCTATTTCTATTTCTATTGGAAACGTCCACAATTATTCATTCTCATTCATTGCGTCTACTAGAAAAGATGATATTACCATAGCATCCATGGAACGAGGCGCATAAAAGCCTCATCATTATCTCCGTCGTCTCCTTCTCTATTTTGGATCTTTTCTCTTTCTGCTTTAGCCTCTACTTTGAGCTGTTGTGCTTCGGGAATATGCCCTATTTTCTCTTCAATCCTTGCTAGAAACCATAAAGACCGTGCAAGATGTGGCTGCATCTCGGCTCTCTCCCTGCTCATTTCGACTACTTCATGTAGAAGTGCCGCAGCCTGCACATTGTCACCCTCCATCTCCGACATCGCGGCAATGATAAATCTTGAATCAGCTATCCGTGGCCCGTTGCCTCCATAAACCTCTTGACGAATATTCATGGCTGCCGTTGCGAGTTTCTTAGCTTCCTCTGTCAGGCCTTGGGCAAATTTAATTCGTGATAGAAGCATAGTATCCCCGCTATGTTTTAGAGATCTAGATTGAATAACTTGCTCTTCAGTCAAGTTTTGTAATCTCCAGCATTGTTGTAAGGCATCAAGAGATTCATCCAGCTGCCATGCTCGGAGATATGCCAAAGCAAGTATTGCCTGAGTCCTGCTCATAAGAAGTGGATTTTTTTCGTTATGGATACCCACCGCCTTCCGGAGATATTGGAGGGCTTCGTCAACCATACCCTGTTCGGTATAACTGCAAGCAATCGAGTCACATACATCTGCTACCTCCTTCGAACTCTTCCCATGAATTTGCTCCAATATTTTGAGGGCCTGAAGATATGACGACCGAGCCTTTTTTGGCTGTGCACTATCCAAAGCTGTATGACCAAGGATTCGATATCCATGTGCGCACATGTTTGTGAAGGGTTTTATGTCGAGGCTCAACCCAAATTCGATAATCCGTATTCCTATCACCGGCTGTTCCGTCTCCCACAGATACCTTTTACGGATGGTTAATCCCAATAGATCCTGAGTTAAATGGAATAAGTCTTCCACTTACGTTCCTGCTCGGAATAGAAGCTCTGCATAAACCTCTGGTTGGTTGACATAGAGTTCATTGTCCTGTTTCATGGTAATCGTTCGGTTGATATGTGGAAGGATATTTTTCCATGTTTCCCATGAAGCCTGTTTTCCGCCTTGTTCTTGAGATACTTCGTTCAATGTGGTAGAAATACCATTCGATAACATCTTTACCGCATATCCAAAAAATACCTCAGCCTCCATTACAGACATCCTTAGCAGTGCCTTCATCTGGATAAGAGGATGAATTAATAGAGCTTTGTGGCTTGATAGGCGTCTTACCAGTGCCGCGCGAATAAGACCAGCTTTGGCATCCCCGAAACTATTGACGTGAGCTTTTATCATTTTACACAGTAATAACTGCACTTACTTGAAGACGTCATATAAAAAGTCCAATCTCGGATCTGCGATATTAGCTTCTTGATCCGTGAGTATTGACTCTGGGATAATATCGTGATTGAAAAACACAATTAAATACAGCAAATCTTGAGACTCAACTGGAAGGTTCTCGATAGAAGCTTCCCACACAGTGTCCAAGGTATATTGATATCCCTCCGTTGCTTGGGTTGTTGTGAATAGATCCCTAGTTGATTTTTTAAATACTCCCAAGGCTTCCTCATAGGAACAACCTTCATTTCTCATGAAGTGTCCTAATTGGGCCATCGCAAAGGGCAAGCCTCCTAGAAGTTTCAGTAAGTCTCTCGCAGCAATTGATTCCACATCGTCCAGAGGTTTTTGGCCAGTCAACGAGTAGAACAACTCCACATCATCCACAGGAAAACATGGAAGCTGAATTACTTTTGTCGTCAAGCGTGATGCAAGTGGAGATGCTCGGCAGGTTATAAGGATGGAATATCCAATACCTACCGGCCATAGTAGGTGAAGCAAGCTCTTTTGCTCCACACCGTCGAATATAAGGAGGAATTTCTTTCGGGTTGTACCTAGCCAGTTGCGTACCTGCTCCAAGGAACTCCATTCCCTCGCGCTACTGTTTCTTTTCGGCAGCCCAACTTTTGCTGCAAATTCATCGGTGGTTTGAATCATTTTAGTTTGCGTTTCAGCCGATATCCAAATAATGATATCGTATAGGTGCTTCGATGTCTCTGCATAATGTAATGCCAACTGTGTTTTACCCACTCCACCAATTTCACAAATTGCAATAACCCTAGCACTCTCTTCCACCTTGCTATTAGGGTCAAGACCAGTTCTTAAGAGTTCCAGTTCGGCTGCTCTGCCCCAAAATCTGGCATTGTGATTACATGGTATAATATGGCATGGAAAGTTTGGTTCGGCTCGATGCTGCCACGATACGTTCCCGCCCCCAGGTACTTTTAACGAATCCTCCATGTTTTTCCTAATGGAAACACGGATAGCACGACCAATGTCATTAATTATTTCGGAAGAGTACTGTAGCTTCGGAATGCGCTGTGATATCCCAACCCTGAATCGAGTCCACGTTTTAGGACGCTTCACGGTATTTGGATTGTTGTAGAAATAAGAAATCATAAATGCAAAAAAAAGTAGTAATTCCGTGAGTGTATTTAGCCAGGCGTCTTTCAAAGCAGGAGTCCAAGGAAAGCCCTGGGAATAATGGCCGTAATTAGGGAACGCCCCCTTGAACTCATTGAACACATCTCCAAGTTCTCGTGGCACGGGTTGAGCAAACTGGTCACCGAACTTAGTAGGCTTTCAGATGGCATATATGTGAATAACAACATTACCTTACCTCTAGAATAAGCCTAATGGAGCCCCATATTACAGTCGCAACCCTATCTTCCCCTTCCATCACACTTGTGACGACCTTAACGAAACACTCAAGATCGTAACGGAGAAGATCTATGAGATCTTCAAAACTTTTAGAATCCATATAACGACCAGCCTGAATCTGATCTGCTAGATCCTCGTAACTATGAGTGTTCCAAAGCCTATGGTCAATATCTCGTGTGTAAACCCCTCCTTTCATCAACTCCAGGTAGTATCTATCTATCGATAATTGCCATTGTGAATATATCCGGCTCTCAGTGGAAGTGGAACTCGGCAGAGATAAAGGAGGCATTTCGATCATAGCTAGCAACTGCGTAGTTATGCATACGCCTTTCTCACAACAACCGTTAACTTATCAGAATTTTGGGGGTGGTGGAACAAAGATGGAATTCCCTTAGTTACTTGATGGTCAGGGCTTCAAACGGGCCGTCCCGCCCCGCATGCCAAGATCGGCTAACTTAACTAGTTAAATTAACATTTTCTGTTAGTTAAACGGTTACTGTGGTTACTCGCTAGCCAGACCTCCCTGCAGTTAACTGAATTCTTAAATCTAAAAAATTTCCACGTTTAGATCACTTGAATATATTACAATTGTCAATGACCTCCCACCTTCTCGGACCTCAGCATCGAATAAATGCCGAGATATAAATACGATATACTCCCCATCCTCATGACGTATCTTTTCTCAATATTATCCCTATAGTTATATAGTTCATTAGTTAACTTGTCATATATTTTTTATCTCGCTTTATACCCATCTTATATGTCTGACTGCATTTCGATTCATCGACATAATGTCAAAAATTACATTGGCGAAGACTTTTGTGGTCAGCCGGAGGAAAGAGATTAGGGCCATGATAAGAATTCGAACATCCAGAACAACCGACATTGCCCTTAATATGAGTTGGTATGATGAGTGGCTTTCTCAGCAATTGGAAAACCTTCCTCCTCTCCTACAACATCTCACGGTTGCAGGAGAGTCACCGGTAGCAAAGCCCCAAATTGATAGACTCATCAGCGCAATAGAGGAATTCATCCTTCAAGAAGACGGACCGACTATAGATGAGATCAGGAAACACCTCCAAAACACCGAAATTTTTGAAAGGTCCGAAGAGAACCTACCAGCTCAGAATGTATTAATATTTACCATACTTGGTTGGCGTTCGATGATATATCAGGCATCGTTAAACACCTGCTCTCCTCATTACTTCGAAATACACCAAGCGTCCGATCAACTAGGACCAGGGCTTGTGTTTGACACCTACAGGATGGATTCTTTTATATCAAATCGGCCGCTTTGGGTGCTAATGAAGGCATTTGGAAATACACTGCCAACTCGAGCTTTGAATGAACCAACGCTTGCAAGTGAAAGCGGGAAGTCTGCGTTGAACTGGGTACCATTATACCCGGCAGATACCAATGCATACCTGTTGACTGCCTTGCTGGGCGTTCGGATTAGGTGGGTTGATATGCTGGCACTACATCTTGATTACGATAAATCGACGAGGACGTTGTCGCTGTTTCGCTATCCGTCTTTTTGTCTACAGATGCTTTCCTCCGAGAAAGGCGCCATATATAGCTTCGCCTGCAACGCTCGCCATGATGTAGATCCTCGCGCGGATAAAGAGGAGATTGCACATTTACTGGGTGAGGTCCTGTTATCGTACAGACTTCTTTTTGCACAGTCAGCAAAGTCCAGGAGAATTTTCCGACAGTCCTTCCGTCTTCATAGCGAGGAAGGCTACCCAATTGATTCCATGCTTCCATTACTCTGCACTCGCAAGCAGCTACCTCCTGTTGATGATCTTAGCCTACCAGTAGACAAGCTGGTCTATTTTGCCTCTCAGGACTTCCCCATTTTGCAACAGAGAATCGAGATTATTGCAAAGGAACTCAAGGATAAAAAGCCTACCTCGATCGCCGATCTCATACGAGACCGCAGGGACACTCTGCAGTTCTTAACATTCTGGCTGGTGTTAATTTTTGGTGGAATTGGGACTTTGCTGAGCTTGATTCAGGTCTTACTGCAGGCAGTACAGCTTATACAAAGCTAGCTATCGCGGAAGTATAGCTATATATCCCAGTTCTTTGTTTCTCAGTCGTTCACTTAACCGGTGGTTGTTCAGATGGGGATATTGGTGGTCCAAATATAACTATACAATCAATCACGATGAGGTACCATATACTTAGAGCTATACTCATACGGAGTACCAGGTCGGTTAACTAAAAGCCACCCAGGAAATTGACAGCATAAGCATTTTACTCAATTTTTTTTTTTTTTTTTCTATTTTTCAACTGCTTAACAATGTGTCAAAACGGAGGCAGCTGAAGCAGATATTATTGGTTAAAACGTTGTTGTATCGAACAAATATACGTAGGCAAAAGGTGTTTAAATTAAGCTTAATAAGGTAGTGAAGTAAACAATTCTCTATAAATAGATAGACTCTGGGGCCCATGGGCTAGCCCATGCTTATTTTCATCAGAGCTTACCCACCCAATTTTTACCCATTATTATTAGGATAAGAAATAGTTTGGGATGAGTTTGGGTTTTGTTTGGCTCGTTCATTCTCATGTCTAGACTTGACCCGCCCAAATCGCCCATTCGCCCAACCATACGGAAGCCTAACAAAGGACCTCTCTATCTCTATCTCTCGATCCTTATTATTCATTTAACCGACGTGCTCTAATTTGACAAAATATATACATGATATCTCGGCGGAAATCTACCTCCTGTTGCTGTTCCGCTATACCTTGCTGAGTCTACATTACGTGATTAACTATTGATGGAGACCTCGGGCAAAAATACTAGCTAGCTACCAGAGAGGGGCCGGAATCCGAGCTCCTGTGCTCTAACTAAGTAGTTACCCAGTGGAGCACGAGGCGGAGTCCCGCTCTGTGAAGCCGGAATCCGGGCACACCACGCTCGAAGATGGAGGACAGAAAAAAGAGTGCGACCACGGAGTATATATATAACAGCGAATTCACTAGTTACTGGCTATACAAATTTTCAACGATACAAACTTCCCCATTCTATTATATAACACACGAAGTCGAGTTTTGCTCACGCCAACATGGAACAAGCTACTTCCCATACTAACGGCAACGAGGCCGTAGTTCGTGAGGCCACCCGGATGAATATGCAAGAGGCGCTCCGTGCCGAGGCGGATGCCACTGAAACTCCATCCGACCTGATGGTGCGCATGTTCAATTTAGTGAGTGAAAACATTCGCCCAATCCTTATCCGATGCTAACAGTTAACTACTTCCTTTCACCTCTACCAGCACCTCGAAATCGCTGTTGTTCGCATTGGCTGTGACCTTGGTTTCTTCAAGTTGCTAGCCGCGGCGGAAGCGCCACTCCGCGTGGAAAATCTGGCACGATCAGCCGGCGCAGACCCGCAGCTTTGCGGGCGCCTGTTGCGCTATCTCGCATCAGTCCGCCTCGTTGCGGAAACGAGCAAAGACTGTTACGCGGCAAACAACTCGACTAGAGCCCTGGCGGATCCAAAAATTCATGATAGCATGTTCTATGTGTAAGCTTTAATTTTCGGCTCTTCCCACCGCTCTGTGAGCGCTCGCTAGTTAGTCCCTACATAGCTGACTAGCTGCGCTTCTTCCCTTCGTCGATGAAGTTTCAATACCGCCGGGCCTGTTTTTCAGGCGCTGCCCGAGTTCCTCAGGGAGACGAAGTACGCGAAAACCGCGGACGGAAAATACGCATGGCATAAGGGGTTTAACACGGAACTCGACTTCTTCCCTTGGGTGAAGCAGCACCCGGAACATCTCCAGGCATTCCAGTCCCTGATGAGTGTGCCGCGTGAAGGCGACTGGCTAAGCGTGGCGCCGTTCACGGAGCTCACGTCGGGCGGCTCTGACCAAGTGATTTTCGTAGACGTCGGAGGCAGCATCGGTCATCAGTCAGTGCGATTAAGGGCCCGATTCCCCGATCTTCCAGGCCGTATCATCGTCCAAGACTTGGAAGAAACCATTAAGGCTGCTCCACCGGCTCCAGGTGTCGAGTTTATGGTCCATAACTTTTTCAACCCTCAACCAATCAAAGGCAAGCTGAGTCTTACGCTCCATCCTCCATTTCCCGCCCCTGACGTTGGAAACATTCGAGCCCACACTTACCTTTAACATGCAGGAGCAAAATTCTACTATCTCCGTACCGTCCTCCATGACTGGGAAGATAGTAAGGCGGTTGACATCTTGAGGAACATCATTCCCGCCATGAGTGCCGACTCCCTCATCCTAATCGACGATATTGCCTTGCCAAATACTGGAGTTCATAGGGGCCCAGCCTCCTTAGATCTGCATATGCTCATGATGCTAGGAGCATTGGAGCGGAATCTCGATCAGTGGAACTCTCTCCTCGAGCAGGCGGGCCTGAAGGTCGTGGATATCAGACCTTACCACCCCGTCATGCGTCACTCGATCATTATTGCGGCGAAGAAGTAGCCAACCTCCGCAGCAGCTAAGGGGAATTCTGTGGTTGCTTACCAGTATCGTTTGACATGTATCACAGTCCTCCAACAATTTACCGCATTTCAAAAATGTTCTACTTCCAACCTCTTACCTTGTCGCGTAGCCTCAATACGTTTCCCTAGAATACTGCTTCGCAAGTAGCAATATAACACAAAAACAGAGTACTTGATCAATTCGTGTGATTGAATAATACTGGATGCGAGTTGTACCCTAGATATAGATTATATATGGTCCAATACTATATTCTATTAGGGTATTTTCAATAAAAGGGTGACTTGTTGAGTCTAT